AAGCAAGCCTCGGCCCTTGGCAAGGACCCAGATAGAGCAGCCATCCTCATCGTTGAAATGCCAACATGCCAAATCAGTGCCTTTCAGCTCAGGGAACAAGGCAACTCACATCATCACCCATGCACTGATATCTGGGGTCGCCTGGTAATTGTGCTGATGCCCAGCAACGTATAGCGGATTGGAAGGCTGCTATTGTATCGACATCAGTGAGGATGGCCTCGGAGGGACGCTTTTTGGAGACCATGATCTCGGAATACAAGTCGGCCCAAATGGGAATTGCGTTCCCTTGGACATCCCATTTATCCCAGGCAAATTCGTGGTCACAATAATCCTAGACAGCAAGCCACGTTATCACCAGCCAGATAAGCATGCCAATTCTCATGGCCAACAATGTTTGTGCATCTAGCTGAAGGAATGCATCATCGGGATCCAGCATTTGTTTGACCATGTCGACATCCTGCGGCGAGAGTTGTCAATCCTCCTCCGAGTCAAACTCTTCCTCATCCTCGGAGTCCATGGTAGGATCATTTGTGAGGCATTAATCTTGGTCTCCCTCCACAGCTTCCTGTTTTTGATGAGCTCTATTAGCACCCCCTTTCCAGCCTCGTCCTGAAACCGTAAGGCTTAGTCTTTGAACCCCAGAATAAAAGTACAGCAACCTCCCTACTGCGTAGTAATTCCCTCTGTAAGAATCTTGTTGGTATGAAATTTTATAATAGGATATGGCAGAGCGACGGATGTGATTCATCTGAAATAAGTATGGGAATGGATTTGAGCCTGCTTACCAGAGAGTAAACAAGAATGATCTAACAATGACAGCTGGGCTCGAGGCGAACGAGCGCCTTCAACAGAAACAAGCGCGACCTCCTTGATTTAATGCAGGCCTCTACGTTACATTTCGAGTTGTATAGGACAGGATTTAAATTGAACTGCGATCAAAAAGCCTGGAAAGAAGTTACAGATGGCCCGGGCTCGAATCGAACGAGCGACACCGGCAGAAACTCACACGTATTATCGAGTGCGGGTGCAGAGATCGACCACCGGGCCTCTCTATTTTGGACTTGAATTTGGTCAGGATAGCAAGGAATTTGAACTCACCACTGAATAAAAACACAACCCGAACTATCAATTCCTGCGAAATGTGTGGCTCTCTCCCTTCTACGAGCCTCGTTTGCACAGGGATTTATTTGAGAAAGGAGCTGAGGACCTCATTGAGACGGGAGCGCAGCACTTTATCTGAATACAGCATGGATTTGAACTCACCGCGATAAAAAACCTCGAGGTGATATCTCATGGCCTGGGCTCGAATCGAGCGAGCGAGTCGCACAGGAACAAACGAATCACCGACTATTTATTGAACGAAAGTACAGAAACGTTCCGCTACCGGGCCTTCATCCACTACCTGTGAACTTGGTTAGGAAGTCGAATTTTGGCTCACCGCGGCATAAAGAATGACTAAAATGAGCACGCAGCAGTAATGTACCGCCCAGCCTCGAATCGAACGAGGCAACCCCGGAACAAATGAATCAGCGGGAGATCATTCAATGCGGGCGTGGAACTCCTGCCCTCTACGAAATTTTTGACGCAGCATTCAAATTTAACCAACTTTATAGGATAAAAAAAAGGTGAACACACGGTGACGCATGACCGGGGCTCGAACCGAAAGAGTCTTCCCTGAACAACTGCGAACTCCGTTAGGATGACTATTCGCGTTGAACTCACCAGGAAATAAAGGACGACTCGAATAAATGCACGGCTCGCAGCCAAGATCAAACGAGCATCTCCCGGTGTGAATTTGGATAGGAAGCATAGCAAGGAATTCGAACGCGCTCACCATAAATAAATAAACATTTGAAAACAGCCGTAAGGAGAGCGATGAACTTGAACTCATCGTGGAATAAAAAATTAGAGCGCATTGGTATGTCCCGGGCTCGAATCGAACGAGCAGCTCCTGCTGCATGGTAAGCGAGAAAATACCTATTGGAAGCAGGCGCGGACCTCCCGCTACCGGGCCTTTCTTGCAGACTTCGGAACCTGGTAACATCAGATTTGTTCTGGATTGCGTTGTCGGTGCAGCGGCGTCGTCCTGTGTAAATCAAAAATAGCACTCGAAGTTGGGGTTGATTTGTAAATCAGATCGAATAGAATTACCTGGGATGTAATTGCCTCTAATTTCTTCGAATGCGAATGCCGTGCATCCAACGACAGGCGCGAGTGCGATGCTCGATCAAAAATCACCTACCTTCCATTGTACTGGACACGATTGCCTCAAGATTGCCCCCTCCCCATCGATTGCGATGGATAGATGGATTAGATAGAACGTGCAGCTGGCAGCGGCGCCGGGCGCACAGGGGATTAGCTGAGCAGAAGGGCGGTGCGGTTGACGCCGAGGTAAGAAGATGAGCAAAAGGCGGTGCAAAGCGGTGCAATAGGTCCGTGCGCGGGAGATCCGATATCCGACGTGTCACCTCCGATCTGCGGTGGTTGCCGGCCTTTTAACGACCGCCCATCGATCTACTCGCCATCGATCCTCTCTTCACCTCCACCACCATGTCCAACTGCTATGTGAGTTCCCTCCCGCTGTCCTCGCCGTCCCATCGCCGTGCTCGCGGTTCCATCGCCGTGCTCGTCGTCGCCGTCGACGTCACCTTCCCCGCGGCCCCATACCCCCCTCCTGCAGTGTATTGACGACCCCGCAGTTCGACATCAACATCAACGACAAGCCCGCCGGGCGCATCGTCTTCAAGCTCTTCGACGACGTCGTCCCCAAAACGACCGACAACTTCCGCAAGCTCTGCCTCGGGCAGGACCTCAACGGCGCGCCCTCGTCCAAGGGGCACACCTACGCGGGCTCCAAGTTCCACCGCATCATCCCGAACTTCATGCTCCAGGGCGGCGACTTCACGCGCCACAACGGCACCGGCGGCGTCTCGATCTACGGGGAGAAGTTCCCCGACGAGAACTTCAAGCTCAAGCACACCAAGCCGTACCTCCTCAGCATGGCGAACGCGGGGCCGAACACGAACGGGTCGCAGTTTTTCGTGACGACTGTGGTCACTTCGTGGTTGGACGGGAAGCATGTTGTGTTCGGTGAGCGTTTCCCCACTTCCTTGCGTCTGCGCGCGTACCCATCGATCACATCGATCGCGTTGATATCGACGTCGCTTGCGTCGCGACGGCGTATCCCCATTTCCTCTGCGCCCACCATTACATCCCCATGCTTTAATCTCCGGTGCTCTCGCATCGCCTCCCCTTATTCGCTCTCTTATTCCCTCCACGCGTCATACGCGTCATATACTTACACTTTCACAGGTGAAGTGGTCGAAGGCGCAGACCTCGTCAAGCAGATCGAGGCCCTTGGCTCGGATAGCGGCAAGCCCTCCAAGACCGTCTCCATCGCCGCCTCCGGCTGCGTCGAGTAGGCGTGCGGCGCGTGTCGTCGGGAGGAAAGGTTGGCGAGCGGGTGCGGGGGCCGTGTGATGTGTAAAGGGAAGGGGCGCATGGCGTGTGTGTGTAAAGGGAGAAGCACGGACTGGGAAGAAAATAAATAAACTGTAGTGATATATCGTTATCGAATGTCGTTTGCGATTGCGTTGTGTGTGGATTTTGGACTTGTGGTGGGGGCGCTTGGGCGCGGTGGATGAGCGACAGTGGGCGCGGAGGCGCCGCCCGCGATCCGAATCGATTATCTGCATCGATCCATCCATCGATTTACCGTTGCGGTACTCAGAAGGCAGATAGCGCCGGCGCGCCAACGTTGGTGGGTGCTCGAAGCCGCACACGTTTCGTTCTAGACGCCTTCCACATCATGGAGATGCCTTCCATCTCATGCCTTTCAAGCACCTCTGTCAGTCTGACATACGGCGACGGTTGCAATGCGGGGTGTTCCGTAGTTGCGGATTTTGGGTGAGATATTCCACGGGTATTCTGGGATGTGGGGTGGGAGATGTGGTATTTGAGGATTGGGCGGGATTCGCCGTCGTCGATACTTGTTTTGGGTCCCGACTCACAGCACGATGCCGTGGCTATAGCTGATAATTCACGATACTCGGGCCGTGGCTGGGTGACAGGTCGCGACGCGCATCGCAATATTAATCCAACTCTGGCACTCGGCGTTTGATTCATGCCGATTTGGGAGGAGGGGCTAAGATTAGATTAGGGTTGTGATCCCTGATGGGCGCGCCTCGGTGCGGGTTTGGGGGCGGTGACGTCACGTCACTCTTTCTTCCTTTCCCTTCGACTCCGCGTCGAGCTTCTTTTCTCTGACTGGCGATTTGACCTGGAGACCTGAGAGGGAATTGGGTACGGCCCGGATATGACGGAAGGAAGGTACCGCGGCGGCGAACATTTCGCGGGTTATTCACATGAATACTTGGGTGTCAAACGAGTTCCCAGGTGCGGATCTATCTTAACCATGTTAGCAGGCATTCTATACTAAAGGCCCGGTAGCGGATGGTTCCGTACCCACAATCAATGACCAGTACCACCCGTTTCTGCGGGAGTCGCTCGTTCGAATCGAGCCTGGGCCATCCTTGCTTGCACTTTTTTTTTCCTTCAGGTTCTGTAAGCTCGATTTCAATTTTGAACGGTGGCTTCCTAACATGCGAGCAGTAAACGCTAGGTAGCGGGAGCTTGCGTGCCTGCGCTCGATTGATAATTTGGGAGTCACTCATTCATGCGAATTTCAAAGGCCAACTTGGCCGAGTTCATAGGCAGCGTTGCAAGGCTCGGTAGCGGAGGGCTCCGCACCCACACTCAATGGTCATAATCTGTCAATACCCATCGTTTCTGCGAGAGTCGCTCGTTCAAATCGAGTCTGGGCCAGGTATTTATTAATTTTTCCTCCTCACCGAGTTCGACTCTGGTGCCGCGTCCGCTAGAGACCGAATCGCTGTCCCTTACTTGAACTTTGAAGATAGATTTCTTATTTGCCTAATGCGGGTGATTGAGGTCTATCCTACGTTACAGTATCTTAGCCAAACTCACAGGTACCCCAGAAAGGCTCGGTGGCGGATGGTTCCGCGCCCGCACTCAATGGTGATAATCTTTAGATACCGATCTTTTCTGCGGGAGTCGCTCGTTCAATTCGAGCCTGGGCCATGATTGCAGAGATAAAATGCTTTTTATTCTCCTCTGTGACTCTTGATTGAAATTCGACTTCAAATTATTTACGACCATCCAGGTTAGCAGGTACCCCAAGAAGGCCCGGTGGCGGATGGTTCCGCGCACGCACTCAATGCCGAAGTAATAGATAGGGTTTTGTGGGAGGCGCTCGTTCGATTCGAGCCCGGGTCATAGGCAGTTTCGCTGCTTTTTTTTTTCTGCAGGCACGGTGGGGTACATACAAGTCAAGTTTGGATGCTATCCTCACCAGCGAGCAGGAAAAACTCGGTAGCGGGAGGTTCCGCGGCTGAGCTCGATTGATAATGTCTGACTTCATTTTTATGGGAGTCACTTGTTCATGCGGACTTCAAACGCTATCTTACCCAACTTGAAGTTCACAGGTACCCGCAAAAGACCCGGTGGCGAGAGGTCCGCGCCTGCACTCAGTCATGTAATCTCTCTGCAAGCAGCAGGAGGCGCTCGTTCGATTCGAGTCCGGGTCATGAAAAGGTTCGCTGCGATTTTTTATTCTAGGGTGAGTTCAATGCCGCTACATCCATTATCGTTTCGTACAGAGTCACAATCGCTGTCTCTGACTAAGTGCTTGAAGATAAATGTCCTGTTTGCGTAGTGCATTGTGCATTTCTTACGGGTGAGGGAGGTCTATACTACGTTCCAAGGTATCATGCTATGTTAGCCAAGCTCACAAGTACCCTCGAAAGGCCTGGTGGCGGATGGTTCGGCACTCACACTCAATATGCGAAGTACGAATCGATTCGAGCCTGGGCTACCACGAGATGTCGCGATCTTCTGTTTTCGTTTCTTTTGGGCAGGTGCGATGCGATTCATCACTATCAATTTCGGTCAAAAGTCGGACCGATCAATTGGACGCACAGCTCTTGAGCGCTTCTTGCCTTGACCGCCATCCTCATGGACTTCGACGCCCTCCCAATCCACTTTCGTCCCTCATCTTCCCTCTCGTCTGTCGAGTTTGATCGCGTCAAACGGAAAATATCCCTGATCCACACAGTGATTAGCAAGTATTTCGAAGACTTTCCGCCACATGGTCACATAGTCGAGGAGGAGTTGCTGATCGAAATCCTAAAGAAGAAAGTGTGGATCCTTGCTGATAGAGACGAGGACTATTGCCTCATAGGCGATCCTGAGGACTATGAACTCTCCACGCATGATTTGGACATGGTCAATCAAATGCTGGAGCCGGATGATACATTGCTTCCGCGGGCTTCAGAGACAACACCGGTCATGAGAATTGGAATGCTCATCTGGCTGGTGTTGACCTCGCTCGCTGTCAAGCTCTATTCTCCCCTCACATCCGCCTGGGATAAACGGGATATTCAAGGGCGCGCGATTACACTTTGGGCGGACATCTTTTCCAGGATTATGCGCTCCAAACAGCGTCCCTCCGAGGCCATCCCAACTGATGTCGATCTGCTGGCAGCATTCTAATCCGCCATGAACGCTGCCGGGCATCAGCACGATTACCAGGCGACCCCGGATCTTGGAGCATGGGTGACCATGCAAGCTGTGTTGTTCCCCGACCTACAAGGCACCGAGGTGGCATGTTGGCACTTTAACTATGACGATGGCTGCTCGTTATGTGCTGAACGATTGTACGTGATCTTGCTCGGCTAATCGAGGAAAACTAATCTCCTTGCTCTAGCCGAGATAAGCTCCAGTCCGAAGCCGGTCTCAATCGCCTTCCACCTCTACATCTGGTTGCCCTTTGGGAGTATTTTGAAAGGTGGTGCGATTTCGAACACGGAATCGCCTTCGCCGTCTTTCAACAACCACATCTCTTTTCGCCAGAGATCTTGCAGCCGATCGAGGAGTTATTTGCTCAACGCTTCCCCGAGAAGGCTAGGCGGACATATGGCTTGCACTACCAGCTGGACGAACACAATTCGCTGGTTAGGCCCATGCATTGGCCTCATGGTCCGTCTTGGCAATGCGTACAGGATGCGATTGATTCTCTTGCACGCCTACCGAGGTGGAGAAGAAATCCCAAGTTCCCTCCTATACAGCCACTATTTTGGTTCGCCCTGATTCGAGTCCTGGGAGGACAATATCAGTCTCAGGATCAGGGGAGCCGGCGACCCCGGCTCAGCCTTTTTGCGGCGTCCCAACTGGGAGATGAGGTTCTTGGCAAAAAGCTAGTGTTGCCGTGACTCGAGTCGCGCGAATTCGACTTAACGCGCTTAGTGTCTGAGGATCACGTCGATTCTGGGGTATTAGGGGGTCAGGAGGTGGAGTTACAATAGGTCCATCATCTTCACATGGCATTTAGCGAAACAATGATTGACCACAGAGAAACATGGGAATTAACGTAATTCGAGTTGACTTGCCGAGTCGCGACTTCGGGAGCAATAAATCACGTATTACCCGATGACAAAGTGATGTCACTGGAAATGGTTGATACATGTTAGAGAGGCATCATGATGCTATGTTTGACAGGTCTAACATTCCGAAAAATATGCAAGGGTGGGTCAGCAAACGAGTTAAGTCGAATTCGATCGACTTGAGTCGCGGCAACACTACAAAAAGCTGGTGCCTTTAAATCTTGATCTTCTCCCGGAGTACGTAAAACGAGCAGTGCAGACGTTCGTTCAGGCCACAGGGCGTGACGAACACGCGTGCTCCGAGGGTTACCGGCGCACTTAGAGCAAATTGCACGTAGACTACCGTACGCGGTATGCAGCCGCGTATGCACTGCTCTACTCCACGGATCGCATACCCTTACTCGGAGAAAACCACTCCAAATTTCCTGGCATCTTATACAATAATTCCCAGCTTTCATTTGAATACAAAAGGTACAACACAAAAAAGGAAGAATGTTAACAGGAGACTCAGCATGCCCAAAATTAATCCTGTGCGGCGGCGAGCAGCTTTGAAAATACAGGCGAGCCGAAGCCAGCTAATTGGTCTACGTCAGCCGGGGAAATATTGCGCAACTTAGGGCAAGACTTACTGAGTGGATCCCAACCAGGCGCCGCGTCAAAAGCCACCTAAACGAGCTCGTCAGCATCCAAATCTAATGAAAATTCAGCACAAGACTCACCGACGAGGCCGGACACTCATAGCCTGAGTTGTGGCCAATTGTGATGTCAGTAAACGCGTTCGAAGCCCTTGAATAGAGGAACGGATTAAGGAATCCGAGGGTGGGCTTCCTTTCAGCAATGAGGCGGTCGTTGATCAGTGCAATAATCCCCGCAAAAGTGGGCGAAGATGCGCTAGTTCCTCCGGTGAGGTTAGTTTTCCCGCTGTAGAAGAAAGGGTTAGTCCTGAGGTGGACTGAGTTGTGCCAAGGTCGTGCACGAAATGGTAGCCAAGCAGTGAACAGGTATGTCCCCTTCGTTGGATAAGATACCGGCCCTAGCGTAGATCAGTTTAAAAATAGATTGAGGTCGAACACTTAGCTAAGTATAGGTTCGCGTGTACTCGTTTAGCTCGGACTCAAATTAGGCTCAGGCTCGAGAGTGAGAGTGGGGGAAAAAAAGTGTGTCGTTCTCAGTAATAGGCTGAGTGGTATTTATACATGATTGGGATGGCTGCTCGCGTACTCTTGCGACACCAGAGCCCGCGATCGACAGCTGAAATGTATACATGAAACAATTATGTATGTAAGTGTCCATGATTAACCTGATCGGCGACGTATGAAACATGAGGTGGAGAATGGAGAGCGGTCCAGACCAAAATAACCAAGGAGGTAACTGCATACGCGCGGGAATACGATGGAATCGAGCGATGATACGGCCCAGATTAGTCCAGCCGTGAAATTGCGCATTTTTGACTTTCTAAGGATCCAGAAATGGGTCCGCGGACTGTTGGATAGCGCTCCGCTGAGGCTAATGATGCTCCGCGGACCCCTGTTCGGTGATACATAAGAGAGTCAGAGTGAGCTCCGAGCTGCTGATTGAGTGTTAATCATGCGAGAGGTGTGAATCAGTGTATGTTCGTGGGATTCTTGGCCCTTACCAATTGGGGGTCGGGATCGCTGTCATGTACTAGGAAGCACCGCCAGACTCAGTCCACAACCTATATGTAGGGGCGGATTGCGCTGCAAAGGCTAGACACATAAACAAGGAGATATATAAACATAAAAGCCCAGACCAAAGACAGATTGAATCTATTATCAACTACAGAGTTGTGGGAGAGACTGCGGCTAAGAGGTCGAGATACATGGAACGCAGGCTCCGCGGAGGCTATAAATAGCACGCGGAAGGCTTAGACAGCTCAGCGGCTCCATAACTCGATGTCCAGCTTGATCTATCTCATTCATAATGATTGCTAACTGCGAGGATCGAACACAGTCGATACCTAGCAGGGCCCAGACCACACGTGATGAGACAGACGCGCTCAGATCAGACAACAAAGACAAGCACAATCGATCCATTTCGGATCTAGTGCAGGAAACCAGATTGGGACATAGCATATGCGTGGCAGGACGGCTCCGCGGACCCGTTTAGCAGTTATTGCTTATCAGGGCTTGGTATACTTACCAACCAGGCCGGCAGGAAACGTCAGGACGGCAATATACGAATTGCGTCGGCAGCTCCGCGGGCAATTCAAATATACCCTTTATAGGTCGACGAGTCAAACAAGATGACTCGTTCGGCTTCAGAATCTCATCAAGCAACTCGGCATCCGTTTACGTGGCTGCCGCATATCAAATATCCCTACTCATTAGTCATTATCAGTTTATCATGTATTTATCAGAAGTAGTATAAAAGGCCTGCCAGAACCCGCAATGCCTCAGTTCATCCTTGCCCCCAGTATTGCTGTGACTACGGTCTAAAGCTTGCTTATACGGCGTTGGTGTCCTCTGGTCGGCTTCGCGGAGATTTGTTATCATACAATCTTTCGTTTGTAGTTGCTCATTAACAGAGATTTGGTTGTTGGCTCTTAATTTAGCTTTAAGGCACCTAAGCTCGCGTTGTTCACCGTAAGAAGTGTTCACGTATAAAACCTAAAGGTACTAGGGTAGCGAAGCCCAAGTCCATCGTTCAACCTCTTTGAGTGAGAACTTTGCCCTAAAGGTACTTTGGTAACGAAGCCAGAGTCCATTGTCAAGCCCGTCGAGGTTGTGACTTTGCCCCAAAGGCACTTGGGTAACGAAGCCCAAGTCCACTGTCAGGCTCGTCGTAGCGGTGTCAGTGCCCTAAAGGTACTTTGGT